TGGCTCCGGCGATAGGCTTGTCCTTGTAGGCTGCAGGCCTTCAGAGTGACATAATTTCAGTTATGTTCAGATTTAAAAAAAAAAAAAATTAGAAAAACATACATCTATCAACCTTTGCCTTGGTAGAAGGAAATGGGATCTTGGCATCTTCTTATTAAGATGAACCACAAGTAGGCATTGCATCTTTCCACTCTGAATTCATACAACCAGAGTCATCCCAGGAACTTGAAAGAAAATTTAGTGAAAGTTGCCTCAGGTTCAAACTGTCCCCAAGTACTGGGGACACAACACAGAACCACTTAGAAAGAACCTGACTTTGTTCCAGGGATGAAGCAATCCCAAAAGGCCATCAACATGAGAAATGTTAAAACGTGAAAAGAAAGTTTTCACGTTTTAACATTGTTAAAACGTGATTGATAAAATAAGTAATAGCATTTATATGATGCTGTGTTTTCTGAGTATATTACACATTTAATCACATAATCTTCACGGTGAAGCAGCTAACACTAAGCCCATGTTACACATGAAGAGAACAAAGTTCAGAGGAGTTAAACAACCATAAAATATGCAGATGAGGCCAGAGTCCATGTCCCCAGCTACTGCTCTGTGGACTTAAATCTAGGATGTCAGTAGTTATGGGACAGGTAAGAATAAAGAGTTAAAGATAAATTATAAAAAAGTTAAAAGGAAATTCCAAAAGCTGCCTAAGAATACAGTGCTTACATGATAACATTAGAGAAACTATGGAAGATTTCTCCTCACAAAAGACCAGGGCCAGAAACTAACAGAACATCTCTTAAGACCTTGAGAAAATAGTGTCACATCAGAATTCTACATACAGTGAAAATATAGAGAAAAAAATGCATTCCCTATAAATGAGCCATGAGAAAAGATATCACCAGTAGATAAACAGCACAGCCAAATACAAAAGAAAATTCCTAGTGTAAAGAAAAGCGACACTGAATAAAACTCAGACCTAAACAAGTAAAAATTACTGAAGTAAAAAAACAATCTTGGAATGGACATAAAAGATTGTATTCTTAATTTAAAACACAACTAAGTATATTACATAGCAGTGTTTTATAATATTCTTGTATTACATTAAAAATATATCACAATATGTGAAGTACAGTAAATGGCAAACTGAGCTATATTGTTGCGAAGACCTTAACTTTATATTCCACAGTTCAGGGCTGTTTGTCTGCTCATTTCTCTTGTCTTCTGTCTCAGGAGCTGGCCTCAGACATGTTCTGTAGCAAAGACAACTGTAAACAACGGATCTTCCTGCCTCCACACTCAGCTGTACTGACATTACTTGAAGAAACTGTGATAAGTTAATAAAATATAACCCCGAAAGTGGCTAGAGAAGAATACTAACCATTAAACCTGAAAATAATTTAAATGGAATTTTTAAAATATTAACTTGAAGACTTTGAAAACCTAAGGAAACATATGATAAACCCTAAGGCAGTGATATAATAATACCAGGAGGTAAAACTGAAGAGAATTTAAATGAATATAGAAAATTATTTCATTTATCCAAAAGAATACAAGAATATAAAATTAATTTGGAAAAAATACATGTGGCAAATATGGGAAGAATCAAAATAGAAGACTTAAACTCAATCATAGCAACAATTACACCATGTATAAATTCAGCATCCAATTAAAAGGCAAAAATTATTAAACTGGGTAAAACAACAAGACACAGCTAGATGTCCCCTGACCCACTTTAAATATATATAAATATAACAAAATTGATGTTTAATGAGCCGAGGGTCTGAGGGTGTGGCTTAGTGAGCTTGCTTGACATCTACCAGGCCTGGGATTTGAGAAGTCGAATAAAAAGGAAGAGAATTTTCTTAATTACGTGAAAACTGTGCATCAGTTGAAACAACAAGGCACCTGACACACGCAGCGTACGGGAAGAAGGGTTATTTTGGTGTCTGCTTCTAGGGTCCAGCTCACTGTGCTGCAGAAGTCATGGCTGCTAGAGCTTTAAGCGGCTAGCAACATTGAAACCACAGTCGGGAAGCAGGAAAAAAAAAGAAAATCAATGTTTGTGCTCAGCTCCCTCTCCCCTTCTCATTCAGTCTGGGCACCCAGCCCTTTTTATGATACTGCCCACATTTAGTGTGGGTATTCCTGCCTCAATCAGCTCATCTATGCAGGGCCTCATGGACATGCTCAGAAGCCCGTCTCTTCTGTGAGTCTAGATCCTGTCTTGGCAGTCAATATTAACCATCGAGACATATGTACATTCTCCTCCTGTGGCTGTGTGAGCACCAGGCAGATCTCAAAATAAGTTCGCCAGAGACATGGAGGACCAATTCATAACAATAAAAGGGTCAGTTCACAAGGAAGGTATAACAATTCTAAACATGTATATCTAAAAAAATTTCAAATATATAAAGCAAATCTTAATCTCCTTTTAGTTACCAAGTTATAGAATGACAGAGCAAACAGAATCAATAAAGACATAAGAGATTTGAACAACACTGTCAATAAACCTAATCTAAATGAAAAATAGAGCCGGGCGGTGGTGGCGCACGCCTTTAATCCCAGCACTCGGGAGGCAGAGCCAGGCGAATCGCTGTGAGTTCGAGGCCAGCCTGGGCTACCAAGTGAGCTCCAGGAAAGGCGCAAAACTACACAGAGAAACCCTGTCTCGAAAAACCAAAAAAAAAAAAAAAAAAAAAAAAAAAAAAAAAAAAAAGAAAAATAGAGAACATTAGCCACAATAACTATAAAGTACATCGTAACTAGCCAAGGCACACAGAGTATTGACAAAGATGGACATACACAGATCCACAAAATGTCTCACAAACCTGTTAAAGTATTATGAAGGAAATTTACCCAAAAGAAATTTCACTAGAAACAATTATGATTAAGCTCTTAGGAAAATTCAGCAATGTTTAGAAATTGATCATACTACATATATCCATAAATAAAAGGATATTAGAAATTAATTTGAACTGAATAACAGTGAAAACCTACAGAAAATGAGAATTTATGAGATTCAAAGCAAAATCTGTTGATAACAGTACATCCTTAACTGCTTCTATTTTATTTTTATTATTTATTCATTTGTTTGTTTGGTTGGTTGGTTTATTGTTTTTTCAAGACAGGGTTTCTCTGTGTAGTTTTGGTGCCTGTCCTGGATCTTGCTCTGTAGACCAGGCTGGCCTCGAACTCAAATCCACCTGACTCTGCTGGGATTAAAGGTGTGCGCCACCGCCGCCCGGCTAACTGCTTCTATTTTAAGAAGAACTCTCCCAGGAGCTGCAGAGAGGGCTGTGTGCTGACTGCTCCTGCAGAGGACCTGGGCTTGAGTCCCTTCACTCACATGCTGGCTCACAAGCACCTGTAACTCCAGGTCCAGGGCATCTGACACCCTCTTCTGGCCTCTATGGACTCCTGTACATACACAGTGCCCATAAATTCATACAGCTTCACATCTATACACAAAAGGTCAATAAATAAACAAATACCAACTTTGAAAATGATAAGTCATTAAAGCCCAGAGATCTAAGATTCTACCTTCAGGAGGTAGAAAAACAACATCAAATTAAGCCCACCATGATGAAAAGCAGGGAAAACTATGGAAAACCAGGAAGCAATGAAGTAGTTAAGAGACACAGAACACGGAATATTTTAAAAGCCAAATGTTGGTTCTTTGAAGCATAGACTATGAACAATAGAAAATAAAAGAGAAAAGTGAACAAATAATTAACATTAGAGATGAAGAAGACACTGTCACAGGTTGTAGCCTGCCTTAAAAGGTAATAAAGGATTCCAGTGACCAAATTTCACACATTGTTCAACTTGTTTCTTTCGCCCAAATTTGTAAAAGATTTCCAAACTGAGCTTTTGCCAAATGTTGCGAATGAGTAAAATCAGCTGACTGAAGTGTTCAGATGGTGACTAACTTTGGAGATCCAATTTGCGCAATGCAGGCAATTAACACAATTATTCTCTATTTTCTGACAGTGCTCAGCAATAAAGAACAGAAAGGCTGGGCGCGGACAAACAGAGGTCACAGGCACAGAGGAACTGGGGAGGAGGGGTATGTGGGTCACATAACTACACTAACCAACAGGACCCAGGTGGAAACAGGAGGAAATACAGCCAAAGGCTTAACAATGTGAACAGTAGGAGGACTCTGGTCCAGTGATCAAAGAGAACACTTCCAAAACTTCACTAGCACAAGTGTTACAAAGACAAAGAGTCGCAGAGATCATGGCCTATTCCATCAGTCACACAACCATCCAACAATAAAGCCAGAAACATTCATCATTTGGACATCCCATAGTGGGCAACCCATAGTGTGATGCCAGAACCACTGCAGACTGTGAACAAATAAGGGGTAACCGGAAACCGGCACGACAGATTCAATATTTACCTAAAACACAATTACAACCTCTCATGTACCAAGAAAAGGTAGTTTATTCTAAGCAAACTATAAATGAAATATAGCCCACCTGGTAAACTGAGATTATGCAATCATATGTGATATCTTTCGTTAGGAATGAAGTTGAAAGAATCTGTACTAAAAAAAACAACCACAGAACCATATACAGTAAAAATAATAATGATCACAACTGTTGTGATGGAATTTAAATCACAGGAACCATCCTGGCTCTATATACATTCATCCACATCTGAAGAATTTCTACACGGTCCCTATAATTCATTACTGACCACCATGAGATTAACCATAAACCTAAACAGACTTGCTCTTCCTACAAAAGACTCAGAAAACAATTTAAAATAAAACAACAGATTGTCACGCTCATTCGCAGCGGGAAGATTAAGTCAGTGAAATTCGGTCTCAGTGCCACGGTCACTACACATTCCAACTATCAAGTAGATTTCTTTGTCAGTCAGATATCTCAGTGCTGGCTGCAAATTCTAACAATTCTTCCATCGGCTAATGCATTAACCACAACTCTGTCAAAGTAAAATAATACTTAATGCAACATTAAATACTTAATGCTTACCTGTCTCAATAGTTTCTCAATGGCTGACATCACCATAAGGCCTCTCCAAACAAGTGGCGCAGTCTCTTCAACCAAGAATCCCATAGACATACTGCAACAGCAATCCAAAATTATAACTCGCTTGTACAAGTTAATAGTACTCTTCAGAAAATACAAAATTTAAAAAATACACTCACCAAGCAATACCATAATTCAAAAGAGGCCTCATTAGGTTGTCTGAAAGAAGAGGGAAAACATCTCTTTTAGAAGAGTACAGCATTGCACATAGCACACTTTCTTCACTTTATACACATGTGGGTTGTAGAATGGTTAGCCTGGGCTAATCAACATATCTATTACCTCTTATATTCATCATTTCTTTGGGGTAAGAACACTTAAACGACGTTTGGCAATTCTGAAGTACATAATAATGCTCTCCAACAGATCAATGGAACTATCCCCCTGCCTACATGGTACCATGCATCATTTGATTAAGAAACCACACACCCTGGATTAAAATCATTCCTTTTCTTATTCACCCTGGTGATGATTAATCTTCATTGTCACTTGACTGGTTAGAGTCACCTAGGAAACACTCCTCTGGCTGTGGCTAGGAGGGTGTTTCCATGGAAGCTTAAGGAGGCTGGCAGACCCACCCTGAATGTGAGCAGAATCCTGTGCAAAGGTTTCAGATTGGATAAACTGGATTAACTGTGGATGCACTGTGGCCAGCCACACCACACTCTGCTGCCACACCTTCTTCACCACAATGGATAAAATCCACCACAATAGACGAAATCTACTCAGATTGTAGCAAAAAAAAAAAAAAAACCTCTCTGCCTCATAATTGCCTTTTGTCAGGTATTCCGTCACAGGACTGAGGAAAATGACTAACATGATCCTTAGCCTCACACCACACGATGGTAGGACTTCACCTTCACCTCTCCCTCATCCAACCTCTCCGACTGGTGGGGTCCTCCTTACAGGCACTGGGCCAGGGCCCAGCCTGAAGAGTCCACCTAATCCTACCATCCACATCCCCTCCCCAAGGCTTGGTTCTAGCATCTTGGTACCCTAGCCTAGTTTGGGCAGCATCACTCCCATCTCCAAGCTTTGGCCAGGGCATATATGCTACTCCCAACCAACCTCTAGACTTTGGCCAGGGGGTGCATCCTGCCACCAATAAAGACAGTTTCCTACCACCTGACTTCATGCCTCCTCTGCCACATCCAGCCTCCAGGCCCAGTAAACCTTGCACGTCTTGCAGTGGAACCCAGTCTAGAAAGTACACCAGACCATTCCCACCATGTACCCCCTCCAATGCCCAGATCTAGACTGGGGGCCACATCCTGTGTTCTGGCTAACATAGTCAGCCCAGGCAGCCACCCCAAAGCTCCACAATTGGACCAACACCCACATCCTGTATAGCAGACCACCTAACTTTATCACACCTATACCACTGCCAACCATCAGGCCCACCTGTCCTACAAGCTCTGTGCTCTGTCCAGACTTCTGTGCCCATATCAGACCCAGAACTAAAAGAACAAAAGAAATTCACACGCCCAGGTCTTATTGCAAAAGCACAAACAATATAAAAAATAAAGATAATATCCTCCCAAAAAAACCCACCATTCTTATACAAATGTTCTCCAATGAGAACAAACACAGAATTTAAAACCACAGAATATAAAAGAACAATCATGAACATCAAAGAATTCAAGACATTTAAGAAAGACACAAAGAAACAGCTCAATGAGTTTACAAAGAATGAACTTAAAGAAAATAAGGGTGTGATGACTAAGAAAAGACAAACATAGGACTGAATGAAACAACAAATAAAACCCAGAATTTGAAAATAAAATTCAATAAAAGACAGAAATATTGAAGAGAGCTCAAGTAGAAATGAAGAAGGGATTTAAAACTCAATAACCCAGCTAGAAAACCCAAGGGAAAGCTTAACAAGTAGAACTGATCGAGTATAAGATAAAATAATCAGGACTCAAAACTAAAATAGAGGAATTAGAACACACCAGCAAAGAATATGAATGTTTTTTAAGCAAAGGAAAAGGAATGTGCAGAACTGTGGGCCACAATGAGAAGACCAAATTAAGGAATAGATGAGAGAGAAGAATCCCAAGTCAGTGGATAAAATAGATGTTCAAGGACATCATAGAAGAAAACTTCCCCAAACTAAGGAAAGACACACCATACAGATACAAGAGGCAACATAACACCAGATAGACAATGAAAGAAACTCCACATGAGGTATCATCGTTAAAACACTAAGTACACATAACAGAGAAAGAATACTGAATGCTGCAAGAGAAAAAATATAAGTCATATGGAAAGGAAAACCCATCAGAATAAAAGCTAATTTCTTAATTTAAAAAAAATGGAAGATCAAAAGTGCCAATCCTGATTACTGTCCCATGCAAAACTATCTGCCACAGTTACAGGAAAAGGAAAACTGGATTTCCAAGATACAAACAGCATAAAAACATATCCACCAAACCTTGTACTCTAAATACTCCACTTTCTCTAAATTTATAGATAAACTAGATGAAAAATACATCGAGAAACATTAAATTTAAATAAAAGACATTTTATTATTCAGGACTGTTTTAGCTATCATGGGTTGTTTTTTGTTTTTGTTTTTTTTTCCATATGAAGTTGAAAATTCCTTTCAAGGTCTATAAAGAATTGTGTTGGGATTTTGATGGAAGAACTGCTGGAGGTATCAAGGTCCCCAAGTTCAAGCTCTCCACAGAGCTATACTAATAAAAATCACATGGTATTGGCATAAAACAGACATGTTGATCAATTAAATTGAAGACCCAGACATAAATCCACACACCTATGGACACCTGATTTCTAATAAAGAAGCTAGAAATATACCCTGGAAAAAGGAAAGCATGTTCAACAAATGGTGCTGGTCAAAACAGATGTCACTATGTAGAAGAATGAAAATAGAGCCATATTTATCACCCCACACAAAACGCAAGTCCAAAGACCTCAACATAAAACCAAACACACTGAACCTGATAGAAAATAGGGAACAGCCTTGAACGCATTGGCACAGGAAACAACTTTCTAAACAGAACACCCATAACACAGGCACTAAGATGAACAATTAATAAATGTGTGTAGGCAGAGTTTTTCTGTGCTGGCAGCCATTCTCAAATAACCACTCAGGCACTTAATATTGTAAATGCTCGGCCAATAGCTCAGGCTTGTTACTAGCTAACTCTTACTTTAACCCATATTTCTTATCTACCCTCTGCCACGTGGCACATGGCTTATCTCATTTTCTAAATGTTCTGTTTCCTGTGTCTACTGGCGTCTCTCTGACTCCGCCCTTCTCCTTCCTAGCATTCTCAATTTAGCTTTCCTGGCTAACCTTATTCTGCTCAGCTACATGGCCAGTCAGCTTGTTTATTAAACCGATCACAACAACAAGTTTTCACAGTGTACAAAGGGATTATTCCATAGCAAATGGGACCTCATGAAACTGAAAAGCTTCTGTAAGGCAAAGGACACCATCAATTGGCCAAAGACACAGCCTACAAAATAGGAAAAGATGTTTAACAACTCCATATCCCATAGAAGTCTAATATGCAAAATATATAAAGAACTCAAGAAACTAGATATTAAAAAACAAATAATCCAATTTAAAAATGGGGCACAGATCTATTGAGATTCTATTAGGAAAACAACCTGACTCAAATAAATTACATTAAAAACTTAGGCTTGCGGGTGCTGGGAAACTAGACCAATCTTTCCCACCCTGCACTCCACCCCACCCCAAAAACAGTCCATTCGAGATCTATTCAAAATAGATCAAATGTAAGGACAGAAACTCTGAAAGTGCTAAAGGAAAAGGTAGAGGGAACACTTGGGAATGCAATCACAGGCAAAGACTTTTTGAGAAGGACTCCAATAGCTCAGGAGATAATCCCAGGAGCTGACAGATGGGGCTACACAGAATTAAAACACATCTGCCCAGCCAAGGAAACATTCACCACAGTGAAAATGAAGATGTGGTCCACGCAGTAAAAATCCTCGCCAACTGTGTATCAGACAGGGGTTACCATCAAGAAGGCTAAATCCTTTCAGCTGAATCATTTGCTCAATAAATGATCTAATGAACCCAACGGTTCTCCAAAGAACAGGGCAGGCAGAGGTGGGTTACAAATGAAAACCCATTGTACAACGAACAGTATACAGGAGGATGCTTTAATCAAACCCATCACTTTGCATGCTGACCCAAAAAAACTTCTAAGAAGTAGTATTTTTTTTTTTTTTTTTTTTTTTGGTTTTTTCGAGACAGGGTTTCTCTGTGTAGCTTTGTGCCTTTCCTGGAACTCACTTAGAAGTAGTATTTTTAAACAAAAAAAAACTTAAGTTCATTTAAACATAAACTACTAGCTCCTTAGAATACAAATGGCAGAACATACAAGGCATGCTGTTATCTCATGTTCTTGTCTGTGAATCTAGTGAATGAAATGGTCCAATCTAGGGCTAGGAATAGCAAAAGGTACAGCTGACATTTTTGTTTATTAGGCAAATCTTTACTGAGTTTCTGTTATCCCCAATCTTTCTGTTTATAAGGTAACATTTCTGACCTTCTTACCAAATTTATATGACATACAAAACTGATGTACTTTTTTGGACTCAATTTTTTGTTATTATTTTTATTAGCCAGGTATCCTTAATCCCAGCACTTATAGGCAGAGGCAGGCAGATCTCTATGAGATTGAGGCCTGCCTTTTCTACATAATGAGTTCCAGGACAGCCAGAATACATAAAGAACCTGTCTCAAAAAGTGCCCCCCAATTAATTTGTATTTATTCTATATATAAATTTATTCAGGGGGTGATATAGGGGAGGAGCACCCATGTGCCACAGTACAAGTGCAGATATTAGAGGACAATTTTGCAGAATCCACTCTCTCCTTCTACCTTTATGTGGATTTTAGGGATCAAACTGAGCTTGGCATGCTTGAGTGGAAAGCCCCTGTACCATCTTGAGGGCTGTAAACTGGTCTCTCTTCTAAAATTCCTTTCTTAGTCAGTATTCTATTACTGTGAAGAGACACCATGACCACAGCAAGCTTCTAAAATAAATCATTTAACTGGGGCTGGCTTACAGTTCAGTGGTCTAGTCCATCATCATCATGGTGGGGAGCATGGTAGTGTGCAGGCAGACATGGTGCTGGAGAAGGAGCTGAGAGTTCTACA